TATAAAATAATTTTATCAAATTTTATAATAACATTAACTTATAATTGACCCGGTCTTTATAGGTAAGTCGAGCACATCCTAATACTATAACGGATCATTACATTAAAGATATGGCAAAAGGACCATTGCGAATAGCTAAGTCGTATACGGGGTACATTGTAAACGGGTATAAGTTTTACACCGATGTTCGTGGTTCGAAGAAAGCATCAATGTGTAGTGGAGTGTGTGTAAAAGGAGTTAGCTACGATGTGGTGAAAAATGACTACTACAGTAGGTTGATTGACATACTCGAACTCGAGTATCCAGCCTTACCAATAAAGAAAACCATTTTGTTCAAATGTTATTGGTATGATACTACACCTAACATTGGTACAAGAGTTCATGATCATTATGGACTAGTCGAGGTCCATAGTAGCAGGTATTCAAATAGATCCGATCCCTTTATACTAGCATCACAAGCGCATTAGGTGTATTATGTAACATATCTTACATTTAAACACATAAGATGTGATTGGTTGACGATATGTAAGGTCAAAGCAAGGCCGACGATGGATGTGCCGGAATCGTACGTTACCGTCGTTCAAACAAATATCGAACCCTTTTAAGAAAACAAATGGAAGGCAAACACAATGTCATCCACGTTGATGATGATGAAGGTCGATCATTGATTGATCCTACTTGGAGCATTATTAGATTTGGAAGCGGGTGAAATTAATCTTCAAAATGAATCTAAGTTTGAAACCAATGTTGAGGAAGACTTAGATGAAGAATGTGACAATGATGATCATGATATTGATTAGCGATAATATGGTGTATCCTATTAGATTATGTTATATTGTAGTTTACATTCAATTGACAAATTGTGAACATGAATTTTATGTAATTGTAGTACGAAATTAAGGGTTTAAGCAACCTTATCCTCCCGAGTTGTTGGACTAGATTGGTTTTGTCCCCCCATTGTAATTTTTCACATTATTTCAATAAATCTTCGAGGTACCGTCCCTATTTTCTCAAAAAAGAAAAAAATTAGGTTTATGGTTTTGTTAGCCTATATAGTTAGCTTGTACTTTTTAAAGGCAAGATTTAATTAAATATATGTTTGTGTTTTATTATTGTTTAAATATATTTCAAATTATTCATATTAATTTGAATGTTATATGTTAGTATGTATTATATAATTAATATTTTATTTCAATACTAATGAATGTAATAATTAATGTGTAGGTCATAATGGCTCGAGGTAGGGGTCGTGGTTTAGATACCGAGTTAGACAATAATCGTAGACGTGGACACCATTCTCATTTCGTTCATGGTCGGATAGGTCCCCCCACGGACATGCCTCCTTACCACTATTCCGGTGTCCCCTCGACATATCGTTCAATGCCTAACATGTCTCGACCTCGACCAATTCGTTATTATGGACCTCCACGTCCTCCCTCATCTTTTCCTTCGTCGTCGTCAATGCCTTCGTCATCACATCAAGACAACCGTTTCGTTCCTAAACACGTTCCATCGGACAACGTCCCGCGTCAATCGGCTTCGAAACCTATAACATCTACGGTCGACCCACAAGTTAGGGTCATTGTCGTTGTTCGTAATGATTATGGTTAATGCTTAATTTTATGCAAAAAAAAAATTTATTATCATTATTATGTACTCTTTTATTTATTAATTTAATTATTTTTTATTTTTTGTAGGTTGTATCCATCCGATGTTTGCTCTCGCATGATCGGTAAGACATTCTAGGAGTATGTTCATATTTACGGATGGATATGGAAGAAAATGAGTCCGGAGACAAAAGACTTTTACTCGGAAAGAGTTTAAGGTATTAATTTTTAAAATTAATTGATTACATTATTTACTATTTAATTAAATAACACAAAATAATATGCAAATAAATTTCGTAATGATTATTATTATTTTTCTTGCAAAAATCATTTAAGTGGGATGATGATTTGAACGAGAGCATTGTTAAGAAAGCATGGGAAAGTCTCACATAGAAGCGATATTCCGTCTTTGTTGTCTAAGGAAAAAACCAAAGCCGGCATTCATCTAACAAGAAATATGGAATCCATGGACTATAGAATGGGCAAAACTCAAGTCCGTTGCCCAATCCGAGATGGCAAGCACTAAATCGTAGGAGCAAGACCGGTGGCGTCGGAGCCGGTCCTTCTAGACATACGGGAGGATCGATCGACCATAGAGAGCACACCATACGCATGGTAAATATATATATATATTATAATTTTTTTTAAAATGATATCCAAAATAATTAATTAAACATTTGAGTATATTTAATACATTTACATATTTGTATGGTTTCGGCGTAATGTGTTGGGTCATGAACTTGATCCTCATGAGATTTTCTTGAGGACTCATCGGAGAAAGGTTGATGATCGGCTTGTCTTCATCGATCAACGATTAAGACTTATCGGTGTAAGTTATTAGTTTATAACATTATTTCATATTTATTAATTAATAATGTTATTTCACATACGTATTTAATATGATGTGTTTCACAATTATGTAGGAGACCATACAAAGATTAATAAATGAGGAAGAGGTTGCTAGTCGATAGTCGGGAGGGACTAAATCAATTGGACCCAACATTAATGAGATATTTCGGAGGGTCATTGGTGAAGGAGATAGTATGAGAAAGAGGATATACATACTCGGGTCACAAGCATCTCACTATTATTCTAACCTCAAGCTCTACTACTTCTCGATTCAATGCTACCGACGAGGCACGGCTTAAAGAAGTACAAGATCAAATATCCGCAAATACAACGGATATCCATAACCTACGAGGTACTCGTCAACATGCTAGAGGATCGTGTCACATCGTTGTTGGATACAACAAATGATTTGAGAGAGTATAGTCAACGGTAATTTACGATGATGTCACGGATGCGAGCAAATGTTCATGCAACATTTTCACCATGGTGGTACTTCATTTCGTCGTTTCGAGACCGACGACGACTCCACCCAACCTCCGAGTGATCCTAGCCATTAATTTCTCTTAGCTTTCATGTTTTCTTATATTAATCGCAACTTTTGTACTCGTTTTTAGTTATTTAATAATCGAATAATATTTAGCAACGTTTTAATATAATTTATAATAATACATTTGAAATTTTAAATGTTTAAGATATTTTAGTAGATATTTTTATTTAAAAATTGTTAATTTTAGTTAATTTTATATAAGCGTAAAAAAATATATAATTAAACAATTAGTGGCGGTCTAAAAACAACCCAATTTGCAATGGTCACAGGACCGTCGCAAGTCCGTCGCTATTTAGCGACGGACTTATCGTCGGTTTAAAAGACCGTCGCAAATATTGCAAGGATTTACAACCATATTTAACAAAGAAATTTTTTTTTATTATTATTTTTTTTTGTTTGTCGCTAAATTGGCAACAATCGATAAACCATCGCAAACATTTAACGATGAGCATTTTAGCGACGGTCTTTTGACCATCGCTAAAGCGTTGCAAAATCATTTTTGCAATGGTTTTTTTCACATTTAGACCGTCGCTATTAAATTTATTGTTAAAGTGATAGTGACTTTTTATTTATTTTATTAGAGAATATATTTCACATTAAATGAATAATAGATAAATAATAAATAAAATTCAGAATAGATCACCATTAAGTCTTTTGAATGAAATTTATATTTAACTATCTAATTTAATATGATATCGGAGACCCAATAGCTTAACAAAGATCCCGAAGTTCAAGCTATTTGATAAATTTTAAAAAATATATTAAATAAATAAATAATAAATTGGTCAACTAAAGTTTTTGGAACTCATGTTGCTTGACATACCAAAAAAAAAAAAAAAAAAAACATTGAAGTCAACCTAAAAAAATACATAAACAAATAATAGATAAATAATATATAGAATTGTGAATAGATCGCTTAGAATATAAGTTTTTTGAATAGTACTCAACTCTTAAAATTAAGGAGGATATTAAAATATATATCTCACATCCAATAAATAAACTAATTTGGATGGTACTCAACTATCTAACTTAGGTCTGGCAAGAAATATGAGCAATATCCAATATCTTTACTGAACTTTGATGGTTATAAGTGACTTCAAGTTTTGTACTAAGGCGCGCATGGTACCGGGCAGTTTTCAATGTTTTTCTTACTCCAGACAAGAAAGATGGCTTGCCGAATCTAGTAAAAAAAAAAAAATTATTATTATTATTATTATTCAAAACCTGGCTTCTTCAATCAGCAATTCGATCTGTGGCGAGAAAAACTTCCTGATTTTTGGATCATAGGATTCAAATTTTCTTTTGAGTTTGAAGCGTCGGAATCAATGAAAGGAATTGGACTTCAGCAACCCTTCAATGCTGGGGGAGTTCATAGATATGGTAAAACAATGAAAAGCTATATCTTTCAAAAGTATTCCAGAAGTTATATATTGAAGTGAATGAGCAAGGGACTGAAGCTGCTGCTAGCACCGCTGCTAGAATTCTTTGAAGTCTTTTCGCCCATCTAATACAGTTGTTCTTGTACAAATGCTTTGTTTGTGTTAGGTTGCTTTGTTACTACAACCAACAAGAAACAAGGAATTCTTGTTGTTAGTGATTGTGACCTCCACTACTATAGATATTAATTAGAACTAATTTGGTTTGACAATCCTCCAGATTATATTTGGTTTCGCTGGGGCTACCTCAATTTTTTTAACCGCTGCCTTTTGTTTTTATATGATTGTCGTTGCATATGTGTTTCTTTCTTAGACTGCTTTGTTGTCACGGCCGAAAAGAACAATAAATACATCAAGACATGCCAGTAAGGTTCAAACTCCAAACCATCCAAGGAATTCCTATTGTTGGTAAACATACTTTGTAATCTCGACTACAATGCATTATATATATGGTTAAGACATCAAGTAAAAGAAATTGCAACTGACAATACTTCAGAAATTACAATGGAGAGCACTTCACAGATAATTGCCAGAAAGTTTGACGCTAACTCCTGCTCAAATATGGCATTCCATATTCTTCAAAAAGAAGCCCAAAAGGCATCAAATTTTGTGTTCTCCCCTTTGTCATTTCAGTGTATGCTGAACCTGATTACTGTAGGCTCAAGAGGACCTACTTTGGAACAGCTGCTATCCTTTCTTGGACTGAAAAGCATCAACGAACTAAATTCTTTGGCTTCACAGATTGTTACTGCAGTATTATTTCCATCAAATGAAAGTGAGGACCTAACAAGAGGTCCGGTTGTGTCATTTATCAATGGTGCTTGGGTGGATCTAAGTTTCCATTTGAAGCCTTCTTTCCAGGAGCTAGTGAAAGGAGTTTACCGTGCAACAGCCAAAGAGGTCGACTTTGTAAATAAGGTAATATTTCAGCTATTTGCATAAGTTTTTACACTATTCTAGTGTAACGAATAGTGCCTTAATTTCATAAATCAGTTGCGAAAACAATGGCAACTGCCTAGTTCAAATCAGTTCTAGTCGCTTTGTTATCTACAATTCCAAATGTGATCTTATAGAAGTGCCCAATTTTTTAACATAGATAGCAACAGTAATTATCTTTTCTTTTTCTTTTTTTTTTTTCCTTCCCGATGGATAGTGACAACTTTGATGCTTTCCTTGAAGGCTAATCATGTACTACATGAAGTTAATTCATGGATGGAGACTGAAACCAGAGGACTCATCAAAAACATCCTTCCGCAGGAGTCTCTAGGCAATGATACAGCTCTTGTCCTAGCCAATGCACTCTACTTTAAAGGAGCATGGGATCGACAATTTGATGCAACGAAAACTAAAAATAAAGACTTCCATCTTCTAAATGGGCAGATTATTCAAGTTCCTTTCATGACCTGCAAGGCATACCATAAGCATCTTTATGGATGCTTTGATGGTTACAAAATTCTCAAAATTCCATACCAAAATGGTCAAGACTCCAGGCAATTCTCGATGTACTTTTTTCTTCCAGATGCAAAAGATGGCTTGCAAAATCTAATAAAAATATTCAGGTCCAATCCTGAAATCTATAATAAACAATTCAAGTTGCAAGAAGAGGATCTCCCTAACTTCTGGATTCCTAGATTCAAGTTCTCATTTAAGTTTGAAGCTTCGGAAACCATGAAGGAACTGGGGCTTGTGCTACCTTTTAGTCCTGATGGAGGATTTTCTGAGATGGTTGATTCCCCTGAGCTGCTTATGCTATCAAAAGTATTCCATGAGTCCTCTATTGAAGTTAATGAGGAAGGCACAGAAGCTGCAGCTAGTACTCAAGATTTATAAAACTATGTGGCTGGGTGCATCCTCCAAGCTTCGTAGCAGACCATCCTTTTATGTTCATGATCAAGGAGGAGAAATCAAGAATGATATTCTTCATTGGAGCTGTGTGCAACCCTCTCTTGGTTTCTTGAAATTCAGCTAGGTCACTGCTTAAGAAATGAAAAATATATTCCTTCCGAGTAATAGAATGTGGAAGCTCAAAATTCATCAAAGATGCCTTCTTTTTCAGAGGTTTTTTGCAACGGAAGCAACGGTACGAGGTGGAGAGCTTTTAGCTGCCTGATATATATAAAGTGGTTTTTAGTTTGATGTTTTGAACTGTTTATCTGTGCTCAATTGCTTGAAAGAATTATCATCCCATTTCTGTTAAATACCCTCATGCATAGAGGTGGGGAATTTTTTTGCATTTGCTGTAGTGCTAAAAAATATTCTGGTTAATGAGCAGGTTCAATGTAAAACTAGTCTAAGAAAGAAACTGTGCAAGTCAATTTTATGTGAAACCAAGACTATCAGAAATTAAGCTTATCTTGGCAATCTTCCAGTTTATATCTGGTTACTTTAATCATGACCTCAGTTTTTGATTTGCTACTTTATATCTGGTTACTTTAATTTTATCTTGGCAATCTTCCAGTTTATATCTGTTTTATATGGTTGTTATTGTATGTGTATTTGTTTGTGTTAGATTGCTTTGTTGATACGGAAAAACAACTAGAATTACCAAAGAAGTGTCCAAGTCTGGCCATCAGTTCTTTCCAAGTTGTCGAAGAAGACGAGGAGGCCATAATTTGGTCCATGCCTACAAATCGAATAAATTAAATTATCTAAAATTTGCATGTTTGGTAATTGAGGAATTAACATTTTTTAGGTAAGTTTTTGAATAATGAACTCCTGAGTTATGATAGCTAGATGAGATAAACATATAGGATAACTTTCCTAACAATAATGAAAGAGATTCATGCTAATGGAGCGTGAAAGTAGCAAGAAGTTGACATCTATCGAGCACCATCATATTAGTTACAAAAAAAACATGGAGCATTACAAAGCAGCACAGGCAATTGCAAAACAAAGTGGAGCATTATAAAAAATCATAGAAGGACCAAACCACTATAAATACAAGTTACAATAGAAGAAGAAGGACACGTAACAAAATAATCAACACAACAACACTTGCAATAAAAATAAGCTCTCAAAACACTTTCTTAAGTTTAAACACATCTGTACCTTATTAGGCAGTAGGCTGTAGTGAATAGATAGTAATATCATAAAATGATAACTTTGTTCCTTGATATCATCCCAAGTTTGAGCACATCTGATACTTGTTAGGCGTAGTCAGTAAGCAATAATATTGTAGGTTGACAGCTTCGTTTCTTGATATCATCTTATAACTAAAATATGTGTATGTACTCTTTAAGCATTAAATCTCTTAATTTGTGAACATTCTATCTAGAGAAAGAGTCCTAATTCGTAAGCAAAATTTTTCATCAATGAACGTAAGTTTCTTTTTAAGTCTTGTGAGTTGATAAGATTGCAGTCCTACTTCATTGTTTATCTATTGGTCAATTTAAAAATTAATAGTATAAACATATACTTTGATTGCAATAAAATCTGGAAAGTATAAATTTTTAGCTCTAAGTGACTGATTGTTAATAATTAGTCTTGGAACTTGCATCATAACTTGTTTGAGCATATTGCATACTCTAATTAGAGTTTGCAAACTGATTTGTAATTCGTTTTGATTTAGTTTTATATAAGAAAAAACACACAAAAAAAAAATCATTAGAGTAAATATTAGAGTGCATAAAGTAGTTAGTTTTATTCATAAGACACTACAAAAAAACAAGGGTTTTGCAAGAGAAAATTAGCCACGATTAAAAGGAATTTAGCAATGGTTTAAAAAACCATCACTAAATCGATTATAAACGACCGTTTTTTGTGATGCTTTTTTACAAACCATCTCTAATTGACAAAAACATTAGCGAGGGTCTAAAAAACCATTGCTAATTGAAAAAATTTTCCCACTGGACCATTTTTTGCGATGGTTTGTATAAATAAACTCTTACAAAAATTCAAATTAGTGACGGTTTATAAAACCATCGCTAATTTTAATTCCCCTATTTTATAAAATTTTCACGATGGTTTTTTAGAAAAAAATCGTCGCAAAAATACGGAATTATCGACGGTTTGCCTTAAACCATCGCTAATTCGTCATGAAAGTACAAGTTTAGTGACGATTTTGTAAATCATCACTAAACCGTCACTAAAATCCTCCCATTGGGGGGGGGGAATGGCTATTTTAACCATTAGCAACTGTTTTTAAATCGTTGCTAAAATTTTGAACCCCTAAAACCAACTCTACCCAAAAATTTTCCAAAACTTTTTCTCTCATCCCTCTCGTTCTTCTCTAATGCTGATTTGGTGTTTTTGGCATTAAAATCGTCCCTTGTCCTCTATTTTGCATCCAATCTCCTCCTCTCTCTCCTCCTTTCCTTTCTCACCTCCATTTCTCCCCTTTCTCCCTCCTTTTCCTTCTTCTTTCTCCCTTTCTTCCCCTTTCTTGGTACTTCATTTTTTCAGCCAAAGAAGCTCCGGTGAAGCTCCTCCACTACCCCCTCTCCTCTTTGTGTGGGTGAAAGGTCCTTCCTCATCTAACCCCTCAATTGTTATTATTATTATTATTTGTAATTTTTTACTAAATTTAATGTTAATTTGTTTTGTTAATTTAATTGTTAATGTTAATGATAATTTTTATTGTTAATTGTGTTATTGTTAATTTAGTAAATTTATTGTTAATTTAGTTAATTTAGTGTTAATTGTTAATTGTGTTAGTGTTAATTATGCTATTATTATTAGTTTAATTGTTACTGTTAATTGTTTTATTGTTAGTATTAATTATTAATTTAGTTAATTTATTTTTAATTTTTAATTTAATTTTGATGAAAATTTAATTGTTATTAATTTTTGTTGTTAATGTAATTGTTATTGTTATTAGTTTAATTGTTAATTGTTATTGTTAATTGTTAATTTAGTTAGTTTATTGTTTAAATATTATTAATTATAAATTAAGTTTGTTTAATTGATAGCATTTTGGAATATTAATTATTTTAAAAAATTGTTAATAAGTTATTAGAAATTTTTAGTAATTAAAAAAAATTGATAATTTTCGAAATTATATGTAGTAAATAAAAAATTAATTAGTAATTAAGTTTATTTAGTTTTTGATTAAGCCAAAGAGTTAAGTAATTACAAAATTAATTAGTGCTTAAAAAATTGATAATTTTTTAAATTATATTTAGTCAATAAAAAATTAATTAGTGATTAACTTTATTTAGTTGTTGATTAAGTAACGGAGTTAAGTAATTACAAAATTAATTAGTTTTAAAAATTAAATAATTTTTGAAATGTTATTTTGTAATTAAAAAAGTAATTAGTGATTAATTTTATTTAGTTGCTGATTAAGTGAAGAAGTTAGCTAATTACAAAATTAAGTAGTTATTAAAAATTTAAATTTTTTGTACATTAAGAAGTTAGCTAATTACAAAATTAAGTAGTTATTAAAAATTTAAATTTTTTGTACATTATATTTAGTTATTAAAAAATTAATTAGTAATTAAGTTTATTTAGTTGTTGATTAAGTAAAGGAGTTAAGTAATTAAAAATTAAGTAGTGATTAAAAAAAAATTATTAGTAATTAATTTTATTTAGTGGTACAAGAGTTCATGATCATTATGGACTAGTGAAGGTTAATAGTCATAGGACGTCAAATACATCCGATCCCTTCATACTAGCAACACAAGCACATCGGGTGTATTATGTAACATATCCAACATCGAAGCTCATCGGACGCAATTAGTTGGCGGTATGTAAAGTAAACCAAGACCGACGAGTGGATGTATCCAAATCTTCCGTTATCGTCAACCAAACAATTATTGAACCCTTTTAAGAAAACGAAATGGAAGGCCAACACAATGTCATCCAAGTTGATGATGACGAAGGTCGACACTTATTGAATGATCCAACTAGAGCGTTACTAGATTTAAAAGGGAGTGAAATTAATGTAGAGAATGAAGTTGAGTTTGAAATAGATGTTGAGGAAGACAAGAATGTGACAATGATGACTATGATACCGATTAGCAATATGGTGGATCCTATTACATTATGTAATCTTGATTTTTATATTCAACGGCCATATTGTCCACTATGATTCTATATAATTCCAGTAGCAAATCGGGGGTTTAGGCAATCTTGTCCCCCTAGGTTATTAGGCTAGGCTGGTTTTATCCCCCTATGTAATTTTTTACCTTATTTCAATATATCTCCAAGGTACCGTCCTCGTTCTCAAGAAAAAATTAAATATATTTGAAATTGTTCATGTTCATATGAATATTATATGTTAGTATTATGTATTTAATATTTTATTTTCATACTAATGAATGTAATAATGTGTAGGTTATAATGCCTCGAGGTAAGGGATATTCTCGGATGCACTAGCCTAGGTCATACGGTAAGGGTCGTAGTTCGGACACCGATTATGGCGATGATCGTGGACGTGGATGCTATTCTCTTTACTTTCCAGGTCGGATGGACCCCCTCATAGACATGCCTCTGTACCACCCTACTGGTGCCACCACGATATACCCTTCTTTCCCTTTGTGGCCCGAGCCTAAGCTCGTATCCTTATGGACCTTCACATCCCCGACCATCTTTTTCTTCATCGTTGTCGTTGCCCTTGTCATCACAACAAGACAACCATTTTATTCCTGAACAAGTAACGTCGCATAATGTCCCTCGTCCATCGGCTTCGGAACCTATCATATTCACGGTCAATCCACGAGTTACGAACATTCTTGTTGGTCACAATGAATACGTTTTATGCATAATTTTATGAAAATATTTTTCTTCATTACCGTAATTATGTATTCATTTATTTGTTAAATTAATGTCTAATTTAATAGGTTGTATCTTTTGGATATTTGCACTTGTCATATCTCTAAGACATTCCACGAGTATCTTCACATTTTCGGATACACGTGGAAAAAAATGAGTTCGAAAACAAAAGACTTCTACTGGAAAGAGATTAAGGTATTATTTTATTTATTTAATTTATTATATTACTTCATATTTAAAAAATAATACTAATATCCAATTAAATATACTAATGAATATTATTATTTTTCTTGCAAAAGGCATTTACGTGGGAGAATAATAGCGAGTCCAATGTTAAGAAAGCATGGAAAAGTTTAGCATGAAAGCGATATTCCAACTTTCTTTTTCATCTCAAGAGAAACCCGAAGCTAGCATATATCTCATAAGACATATGAGCATGCATGGCATTCGGAATGGAAAAAACATGAGGCCATTGCTCGATCCGAGATGGCGGTGCGGAACCTTAGAAGCGAGACCGGTGGTGTCAAAGCTCGGTCCTTCAAGACATATGGGGGTCAATTAGCCATAGAGAGCACGCAATACGTATGGTAAATATAAATATATATACATTAATTTTTATAATTATTCCAATATAATTAATTAAAAGTTTGAGTATATTTCATACATTTACGTATAATTATCTCGAGCATAAGTTATTGGGTCGTGAACTCGATCCGCATGAGGTTTTCAAAATAACTCATCAAAAAAAGGTTGATGATCAATACAAATTTTTCGATCAACGATCAAGAGTTACTCGGAGTAAGTTTTTGGTTTGTAACGTCATATCAAACATATTAATTTGTAACGTTATTTAACATAATTATTTAATATTATATGTTTCACAATTATGCGGGAGATCGTAGAA